AATTGATGATTGGTTGTTGTTTTTGGATGATCTGAATCTTTTTGTGCTAAAAGATGATATTTTATGAAACTAATGATTTAGTTTTATTATATTTATCTTCTTAAAATGCATGTGTTAGATTTAGCATTACATTGTTAATTGTTTATGATTAATGGAACATATGCTAATATTCAGACTGTTTGCTAAAGTGACTAAGCACATGATTGGTTTGACACCTCACCTAACAATCCAGACTTAAAATCACACTTTTTTTAAAATGGTATTTTCTTTATGCTTAAATGTCAAATATACATTGGTATTTGTTATTCTTAAGTTATAGAATAACCGGACTCAAAAATGGAATTTATTTATAACCGACATTCTTTGAAAACTTGACATAACCAGTGAAGAAAACGAAGAATACCATGGTAATTTTTCGAGTCTTGCGATGGTTTTGAGAGAAAATCAACATTTACTCAAGTAAGATTTTTCATTTTCAATCCTTGAATAGTCTCATTAAAATTGTTATTGATTGACGCAAATAGAGCAGTCTATTGATGTATCCCACAAAGAATCTGTTTATACGACAAATACATGTGCACATGCTTCAGAAAGGATTTTAGGCCATCTGTTGAAACTTTTGAGCTTTATCTATTTCTTTTGATACATAATCCCTTCTCATCCATGACTGAGCCTCAAAATGATGATTCTTTTCAGTACAACCATGACTTTGACCAGGCCAAAAGAATTCTAAATTCCTATATGGGTTATTTAATTTTATTGCAAGTTTTCTAAAAGGCAGGCTGTAAGAAAAAAAAAAAAGAAAAGAAAAGGACAACCAAAAGGGCAAAATGAAATGAGAAAAGAAAGAGAATTCAAAAGGAATCAATCTAGCCAAAGAATTGTGATTTGAAAGAAAAAGGAAATGAAATGAAAAGAGAACAAAGAGAGAAGCATGAACAATTTTTCCAAAAGTAAGATGAAGAAAGGAGAGAATGTGCAGAAGTATAATCAAATTGGATAACCCATCTTGAACTCCGCTTATCCGTCATTTCGTTAACCACTAACCCCTGGCCACATTACAACCAGGAAAAAGCCCTAATTGATCTCTAGTCTGATGCATGTATAGGTCGTCAACCAAAAGTCTAGGGTATGTTAATAGTATTATTTTATTTATATCAATATTCTTCCATGAGATTATACCAAAAATAATTAATCTGTTTTCCTTAGATTTCACTCCCATAAAATAGTTGTGCATGTGAATTTATAATTAACCTTCTTTTGATCACATGCCTTTTGAGAGAAAAGTTACTATAATCAGAGGAAATTTTTGCTAAGAACATTCTAAAAGAGGTTTGTGAAATCAAAACTATCTATGGAAGGTTGTAAAGAGGAGTTTTTGTTATATATTTATTCTTGTCGCTAGAATGATTATTCTTACTACATAAGGAATTTCAAATACCAATATGACAAATGCTTATTTTTGCATAGAGTACGTACCTATGAAAGAGAAGTGTTTGAGAAACAAGTCAAAATTGAGGGTTGGGTGTCTCAACGACCATGGTACAAACTAACTCTGACAAGAAATCTCATATACACATATCTGTTCGACTAAAGTTTGTTGGTAACTTCACTTAAAACCCTCACGAGATAACTCTCATCCGCTAGGAAAAACCTCAGGGTTTAACGGCTTGTTACAAATGCTAAATGCAACCGAGTGACCTACAAAAATGGCATTATAAATAATTTCTCATTCAATTGTTGTTGTATTACTAAGGACTAGCAATATTTAGGTTGAAGGTGTGATGAATAGTTAAAATTAGCATCTTACTATACTTTTACAAGACTAATTATGCTTTGATGGAGTTTAAATGATAACATTTCAGGAAAAAGTTGTCCAAACTTTCATGCAACAAAAACGTGTTCCAGAAGAAAATTTGAGAAGTTTGAAGCAAGACATCAACGTTCAAACGCCAATCCACGTTTGAATGCCCATCTTGAAATAATTGAGGGCCCCTAGAAGAGTTCTAGGGAAATGGCACATGACCTGTTGCAGTTATTCTCACAAAAAAACAAGAGCTACTTGAGTACAACGTTCGAACATCAATCCACGTTTGAACGCCCATCACAAAAGACAGGAGTCAAAGTTTGAACGTCATTCCACGTTCGAACATACTCTCTAGACAGAATGCAAAGTGGTTGATTTTTCATCTAGATCTTGGGGCATTCACTTGGACTTTGAACTATTCTTTTACTCTTCCTTACCCCCTCCTCCTTGCCTATAAATACCTCTTGTTTGGAGAGATATGAAAATGGAGATATATAGATAGATAGACATACATAAGGAGAGATAGAAGAAAAATAGATCATCTTTTGGTTGAAGAGGAAACCCTCCAAAAGTAACTAGTTTTCTTCTACTTTCATTATTAGTTTCATTAGCTTCCATTGTTTGAGCTTCTCTTTTCCCTTAGAGGATTGAACTTTTTCACTTTTCACCAAAGCCATGAATGGTGGAAAGTGATTCACTCATTCTTCATCGAAGATAGGCTTATTGTGTAGTGTAGTTTCTCTTGTAACTCCTCTACTTTGAGGGATGAGAATCACTCACTTTTTTAGTTTCCTTAAAGCCATGAAGAGTGAGTAGTTTCTCATTCATTCTTTAGTAAGAGGTGATAGACATGTATAAATCGTTAGGAAGTTCTTTTTGTACATTTCATTTATGTTTAATGCTTTATTTGTTAATTACTTATTGAATGATTGAATGCATCTAGTAATGCTAAGGTACTTTGTACAACTATGAGTCTTTTCTAAGACAAAATGACTTTTGGCATAGGAGGATTCATTGGTTCTTTGCAAGTACTTCAGCTAGATCTTCATGACTACATTTCAATCTTCGTCATTATTGTGCTTTAACTAAGAATAAAATATTAACATAGTGGTTGGATTATTTGCAGAATTACTTACTTGTTTATAAACGGGTTGAGTCTCAGCATAGATAATTCTTGTAAATCTCTGCAAAGACATCAGAACCGTACTCTTAATTCGCACAATCTATCTTTATCCTCCAATTAACTTCTTGTTGACACAGGGATCAATTGAGTACACAAACACAAATATAATAACCAGATGATTGACTACATGTTCAGATCTTCGAGCTAAAGGGTGACTTTTACATTTGAGAGAAAATTATATTTTGTCTAGAAAACATTCTTCAGAAAGAATATTATATTCTGTCCAGGAAATTTCATAACCCTCACAACTTCAAATCTCATGGGTTCCAGTCACCTTGATCTCTGTCACTACTCACTTTGAAACACCAACATTAATTCTTTGTGGATTCAACTCTAGACTTAACCAGATTATAACTACAACTTCACCGCCTGCACTTGGGTGTACACATTTCGGATCAAATCAGTATGTAACACAATTCTCATATGCAATAACTCCTTTTATTGCTAATGTCATTGATGTCCCAAGAGATGAACATTGTGGATTTTGGGTGGTTGCTGGATTCTTGGAGATGGAGGATGATGGTTGGAAACAAGGATAGACTTGTTAAATGAGTTGAAAATATTTAACATTGATTACTTTCAAGTATTGGGTGGTGAAAACCGTGTGACTGAATTAGAGGAATCCATTCACTATTGGGATAATAATGTTGGCTCTAAACATTGGATGGCAATGCTAGATATGGGGCACATTATTGCGTTATGTTATGGCATTATTGTAGTCCATAAATCATGCCAGCAGTGTCTCACATTTCTTCCGCTTCGTCAACAAGCACCTTACAAACCAAGTTGTCGGATTCTCGAATGTGGTTACATCAACTAAAGTCACTTTATCAAACTTGAGTTCACTATAGATTCTCCTTTACCTTCTGCGTCAACTATATGGCACAAGTATTATTATGAACCGACTAATGGGTTGATTACTCCATATTTGATGAGGATAGAAAGATTAAAGACGTTGTTAGGAAATAATCAAGAAATTGCTTTGATTTATATTTTTTGTCTATAATTTAATATAGGGATCTTCAAAGTTTTACAGTCCTCAGCTTTGCGTTCGATAAAAAGAGATCAAAAACATCTTCTATAAGAAGTTTCTAGGAGGATATGTTATTTTCATTTATTGTTATTTCAAGCTTGATTTTTTGTGACTATTTACTTCATTTCAAAAAATGACTTTACTAAAATGGTATTATTGACTAAATAGTTAACTCAGTACTATATGGATTCATGATTTCTTTACACAAAAATAAAACTTCACTAATCTAATTTCCTATGAAAGATGCCAATTATTTGTGTCCATGAATTAACCTCTTGCTTACTTTTATCTCCGGTGTTTGACCACTGTAAACAAAAATTTGAATCTAAAGGACAAAGAAACAAATATGTCAGGATATCTTTTAGTATCAATACATAATTTTTTTTTTTTCTCATCATTGCATAATAATACACTTAATTTTGATATTTGATATTCAAGTTCTATTTATAATATTGATATTTTATTTGATATCAAATATATGATTCAAAAAGTTGAAAGATATATTAACATGTTAATGGGATGGACTTAGTCGTTAATAAAATTGAGTTTAGTCACAAATTAATGGTAACATAATAGGGTGTCCTTAGTCATTAGAGGGAGTTTTATAAAATGAGTTAGTTTAACTATTGATGGAATGTATGTTACATGAAATAGACTTAGTTACCGATTGGGTGGATATAGAAAGGATGAGATCATAGTTTGATAATAAAAAATTAAATATTATAAAAATAAAAATTTATGGGGTAGAAATAGTCTCATGACAAATCTGAGGGTCTGCGATGCAATTAACCTAAAAGTAGGCAATAAAGTAATTTAATCACTAATGATCCGCTAGGGATAATGAAAAGACTGTCCTATCGACCATATAAATTCGCACACTCCAACCATTTCTAACGTAAGCAACTAAACATCCCATTTCCAAATCTCCTTTTGCACACATCACCACTATTCACCAGCACCCTCTCTCACAGAAAAAAATGGAAGATCTCGAAACTCCCACCACCACCACTACAGCCACCGACGCCGTTGCACTATCGGACCTCCACAACCCCGACAATGGCGAAACCGCAACTACCCATGAACCTGACACATTTTACGAAGACTTCGACAGCACTTGCTCAACTCCTTACGTTAGCGCTCCGTCCAGTCCCGGCCGTGGACCACCGGCAAGTGGGTTCTACTACAGCGCTCCGGCGAGCCCTATGCATTTTATGTTGTCTACCTCCAATACAAGCACTTCAATGTGTTCCAAAACCGAAGGAACAACGGTTATGTCCAGTTCTTTTGAATTCGACTTCTCTGCGAGACTGGCCACGAATGGGCTGGCCTCTGGTGGGTCGATGAGCTCCGCCGATGAGTTGTTCTTGAACGGCCAGATCCGGCCTATGAAACTCTCCACCCACCTGCAAAGACCTCAGATTCTGGCTCCATTGCTCGATCTGGACGAAACTAACGGCCTAAATTGTGAAGATTTTGAAAATAATGATGAAGAAAAAGTGGGTAGAGGACGAGATCTGAAATTACGAGACAGATCTATACGGAGGAGGACTAGATCTATGTCGCCATTGAGGAGTTCATCCTTCCATTGGCATGAAGATGACGATAGTGAAGATCGAGAAGGCAAATCTACTGAAGTAGGTACTGAGACTAAGGATGTTGAAGGTAAGCAGAGTGAAACGATGCCCTCTCGGTCGTCTTCTTCCTCGAGGTCTTCGTCAAGGAGGTGGGTTTTCTTGAAAGAGTTTCTATACAGAAGCAAAAGTGAAGGAAGAAACAATACCCACAAGTTCTGGTCTTCTCTATCGTTTTCACCGGCCAAAGAGAAAAAAAGTGACAAAATTTCATCACCCACAGCACCATCTAACCCACCTGCTTCAACAACGGCGGCTATGGAGAAGAAGAAAGAGAAACAAGGTATAAAAGAGGCAAAAAAAAAGAGATCGACAAATGGGAAGGTGGCGAATGGTGTTGGGAAGAGGAGGATGGGTGGTCCGTCAGCTCATGAGTTGCATTACACATCGAATAGGGCTCAAGCGGAGGAAATGAGGAAGAAGACATTCTTACCGTACAGGCAAGGCGTGCTTGGGTGTTTGGGTTTTAGTTCTAAGAGCTATGGTGCTATGAATGGGATAGCGAGAGCTCTGAACCCTGTTTCTTCGAGGTAGTAAAATGTGGCCGTCATGGATTGGTGGTTTTGATTCAAGTGGCTGTACAGATCTTTTTTTTAGTTAAACTTTTGTGTGTTTTTCTGTTTAATTTTGATTATGTAGTTGTCATTGATGGCACCCTCTTTGGTTTGAATAGAGTTGTTGTTACCTTTTGATGGATTTGGTTTGGCTGATTGTGGATCAAATAAGATTCACAGTCACTCATCTCAATGTTGTAACAAAATATATTTGGTCTCCTAATTTGGCATAATTGGTATTATGGGCTATCATTTGGAACTAAATTGATACTCCAAATGATGATGTGATTGGCTCTCATAGAAAAAATATGGTGACTCTCAAAGCTACTTTATTTATTTATGGGTTTCCACAGATAATTTAGCCTATAATTTTAGTTCAATTTTTTAGTCACTTCGAATGAAGGAACCCCCCCTTCCCCTTCTCCCTCTGCAATTACCCAGTCCACCCCTGGATATATTGTTGTGCCAAGCATGCAATTGCTCACAATTTTTCTCCCATATGACTGGTGTAAAGAACATTACTTGCAATAGAACCATGCCTCTTATTTGGGATCCGTTTGGTACTTTATCAAAATTTACATTTACCAGTCACTTATACCTTAAAGAGACATACAACTCCAGAAAGGGCAACAATTTGATAATTTAAGGACAATTAGCTGTTTCTGGTTTTGCATCCTCCTAGGGGCAACCTTGTGATGCATAAGCAACGCACCGACTGATTGGATGGGGGTTAGGTTTTTTGGGAGGTGTGAGATTCCTGATTTGTTTTTCTTTAACTATCAAGATCATGGGCGGTCCGAGTTGAGAGGGAGATATATTAAAATTCAAGGCTATAGTATTATATGAACAGTAAAATCAATAATCAATAATATATTAAACTACAACATAACGTTTTTTAAATCGAAAAATCATCCATAATTTATCATATAGAATTTTTTTTTTTCCACAAATTTCCTTCGTATGGGGTATGGTTAGATAGTTTATATAAAACCATCTTTCATTTTGTTAGACACCTCATTGAGATCATTCTCTGCATTGTTGATTAATTTATTTGATCTTGTTTTACCGAGTTAGTAGCCACTATCTTACCAAAAAATAGTTGAGGAAATTTTACAATTATACTTCTTTAAATAGAGTAATGTATTAAATAAAAGAGCGGTATTATCTTTTAACCAACTCATATAAGGGTTAAGGGACAACATTTGTTCAAAAAAAAAAAAATTTGGGTAACTATATAAATAATTAAAAATCAAGGGGAACAAAACATTGAATTATGGAATATGGGTTCCGACACCAACGACTATTTAAAATTTTAAACTGAAACTCATGTTTAAGGGAAGGGTTTCAAATCAGCCATCTTGTACTGTGTAACAATATCTATTCAATAATATTTCTTAGAAGTTGAGAGGAGCAATTGCCTCCCTCCCATCAACATGGCTCCGCCTGGTGGTTGTATGTGGTGGAGGTTGAGGTTGGGGTGATGTTGGTGGTGGTGGAGGGATTAGGTTTTTTGGTTTTAGTAGATTTATCACCTACTAATATTGCCATTAACACCGTCTCATATTTGAGAATGAATAATCCGGCATTGATTTGAGTAGACATTATAGTTAATTAGACCAGGTCCCTCTTTTGGGATACACAAATGCTAGTCCTACCAAATTTTTAGTATAAAAAAAAGTCTTTAAAAAAAATTAGATGCGGTCCTTATGTTAGAGGAAATATTAAGGTATTGATATGATAGAGTCTGATGATTTGTATTTTAATGTACCTGTCTGACGATCTGTGTTTATGGAGAAAAATTTACATTAACAATTTGTATTTTAGTGTACATGTCTAACAATTTATATTTTTAGTGTACCTGTCTAACAATTTGTGTTTATGAAAAATAAGGTACATTAAAGATCTATATTTTAGTGTACCTATCTGATGATTTGTATTTATGGAAAAAAAAGGTACATTAATGATTTGTGTTTTAGTGTACATGTCTGACGATTTATGTTTTAGTATATTTTTTTTACGATCTATGTTTAGTGTACATGTTTGACGATTATTGCGTAACTGTTATTTTTTATATTTTTTTTAATGCGTACTTGTTATTTTTTATATTTTTTTAGTGCATACCTGTTATTTTTTGTGTTTTTTTATTACATACCTTGTTTTATTGTACTTTTATTAAGTTCAAAATTACACCTTGGGGCCCACGGATTTGTCCCCCCTTAAATGAACTAATTACATTATATTCAAAATTCGAAAGAATTTAAAAAATGTGCTAGATTGGAAATTTGAATTTGTAAAAAATCTTTGAATTCAAAAAAAAAACCTCTTAACTATCATGAATAGTGTCTTTATTGCTTAAAACTCTCAGTTAGCGTTGATCATGAACAAGAAAAAATCTTGCTTCAGTAGGAAAAAAATTCACGTATGTTGTTCATCGTACAGGTACACATATTAAAAATTAAATATTATATTTCATTCATAAATAAGAGATTGTATATGTGGTTCATTTGTTTTATATTTAAAAAAAATAGAAACATATTATTTTTTGAGGTCCTTCAACTATGCCTCAAGCTTCTTCACTTTCTTCTTCTCCTTTTGTAGTTTTTTTGTTGAAAGACTTCGCCATTTTCTTCCACTCATCTTTTTCTTTGTTGGACATGTAGAGTTAGAATTTGAGACGATCGATATTAACTTGCATGCGATTTTATTTTGTGTGGGAGTCGTCCACAAAACCTAAAAGTATTTGTATGTTAGTTTGTGCTCTTTGTTGCCTTGATTGTTCCATTTTTTTTCTTGTGTTTTTGTTCAAAATTTTAGATACACTATTAATAAAGATATTTTCCATGGGTAGATGAAGAGGTTTAAACATATGTTTATTATGGTGTTAATTGTGTAGTTTATCGAAGAGACGTATGTTCAGACGTCTGATCTCAATGTATCTATTGTAGAGATACACTGAGTATATCTTACTATATCTTCGACTTTCAATTAATGGGTACATTAGTCAAGAACAAGTCATTTTTTTAATGTATCTGTCTGACGATCTGTATTTTTTGGAAAGAAAGTGCATTATGATGACGTAGATTTTTAGGATAGGTGTTTTAATTACGTGATAATATTGTCGTTATTATTTACATTTTTTAGAGGGTGTTATGGCCATTATTTTGACTTTTCAATAGTGACTTAATCCAAAAGGAAATTAGCGAATGAGTTTTTTTTTGGGAATCCTATTGGACCTGGGGACCGACCTCTAAAAAACTCTAATGATACATCAAACAAGCCCTAACTGTGAGCTCAGGTCAGGAGGTCAGAAAAGACACTAAAAACTCAGAGAATTAGGGGTAGAGCTCCCATTGGTGAGATCGTGACAGAACAAACCAGGAAATAGCTGGATGACTGCAGAAATTGAGCCCAATGCATAAAATTCTCAATCAACCGAACTTCTCTTCTAAATCAAGGAGGATCTCATGAATAATTGGCAAAGATCTCGGCTGAAATCCCACATAATAAGGAGCAGCCTTATAAATACTATGTAACGCCTCATCGAGAAGGGACCCTAGAAGAACCCTAATTAGATCATGCATTGTGTGGTAATACATTCAAATTGTCAATAGAGAAAAAATGAGCAAGAGTCTTCATTAGAGAGTGAATTAACTGAGCTCTAGAGGCGATGAACCACTATATTCCTACTGTACAAATTTTCCTATCCCCTAAGAAACACTTCATCACTGTCATTATGAAGTTGGCAGCCTAAATTCATCGTTGGTCCCACGCACTCTGTTCACCCACATTAGTTTGTACCATCAGTTTGGCGTCGTCTGTGGGAACGATTGTTCCTGTTACAAATAAGCTGATTTCTTAGTGACTGATGGTATCAACACGAAACATGAGCAGAAGCCAAACAAACCCACCTCAAATGCAGGATCAACAGGGAGCCAATAATGACAGACAGACCGAGAACGTCCCAGAAATTGATCCTCCCATGGAGAATTTCCCCACAAATAACGAGATGGAGGCCCTTCGCCTCGTCAATCAGCGCTTGATAAAGCAAAACAAGGAGCTCTTGAAGCTCTTACAGCGCCCACAAGAGGCACGTCCGGCCCAAGAAGGTCAGAACAGTCCCCATCACAGGGATCAACAACACCTTGATCCATTCAGAAAAGACAACAAAGGAGAGGAGAATAGCCAGACCTTGGGGCAGGTTCCCCAACTACCTCCTAGGAATGGTCATAATGAGGAAGTACAAAGTCAAAACCATGAATGTGAAAAAAATAATGTCTTCCCTTATCAGCAAGAGATAAACAGGAGCTCAGCCATATGAAGGAAACGGTCAGAAGCAAAGCTCTGATTACAATGGACGCCTTGGTACAGCAGACTGAATCTCCATTCACACCTGGGGTGTTGCATTTTGCCCTCCCACCAAAGTTTAGGATGCCACAGATAGAGTCCTTTGATGGAACCAGGAACCCCATGGACCACCTCAATACTTATAAGAACCAGATGGAGCTGCACGGGTACCAAGACCCCGTACGTTGTCGAGCCTTTGCCATCACTTTGAAGGGTTCAGCCTTGGCGTGGTTTAACAGGCTCCCCTGGGCCTCAATCTCTTCCTTCAAAGAACTTTCCATTTCCTTCGTATCCCACTTCATAGGGGTGCAGACCTATAGAAAGCCGAGCTATCACCTTTTGAATGTGAAACAGGGACCTCAAGAAAACCTCAGGTCTTATGTCTAAAGATTTAATTCAGAATCGTTAAAGGTGGATGTCCCTAACGAGAAGTTCACCATCACTGCCTTCACAGCTGGTCTAGGGGTGCAATCTAAAGATTTTATGTTCTCCATATCAAAAAATCTCCGAGCAAGCATGGCCGAGGTGCTTGCCAAAGTGGAGAAATACATAAACGACGAAGAAGCTCTTCTTTCTAAGGAAGGGAGCTCTTCCACACATAGAGATAAGGGAAAGGAAGGGAAAAAGAGGAACCGA